GGAAGTGAAGCCGACGCGTTGTTGTTGTCTGTTATGGCATCGTCGACGTCGAAAAAACGAAAACGAGACGACGACGTAGATGGGGAACTTGTACAAGATATCGTACGTATTATTCGTACTAGAAACCATACCGTACCCAATTATGACATTTCCGCTCAGCAAATTCACGAACTTGTGGACATAATTCGCACAAATCAAACTAAACGCGTACGTCGCGAAGTGTTTAGTGCTGAATTATTACGCGTCAATCGACGATTTAATCACAACGAATTTATTTATAATATTAGCGTAGGACGTAATAATGCAAGTAGTTTACCAGATTTTTTACAGAGTATGAATACTGTTTTTAAATATTTGATAAATGTAATGAATTTTAATGCTAGTTCGGCGACAGATAAAGCACGTTTCTATATTTCGAATGCTCCGACGGCTAGTTTTTCGACGGCTATTTTAAATGTAGGAGATTTTACACCTGCATTGTTTTTAAATATTTTCGAACGACATATGCAAAGTAATGCACGTGCCGTGATTGACAATGGCTGGCAATCGATCGTGAGTCTATATATTTTCCCCAATAGGTATGTGCGTCCTCCAAATAATAGGAAAAAATTAAAACAGCCTAAAATTTATAAATATTACGGTAAAAATCCTAGCGAGTCGGGTAACGGACGCACATCGGCAAGTAAGCATGGGCGGGGGGTACGAAATGGTGTTTTTCAAGTGGTAAGTAGTAAAAAATGTTTTGCCCTTAGTTTGCTGGTGGGAAAATCGTTTTTGCACAAAGACAAACAATACGATGTTTTAAACGTACGACGTAACACGGAACTCACGACGTTGTATACAGACGCACAGATCGATAATGTTTACGCATGCGCCAACATACCCCAGGGTTCCGTACGTGTTGATCAATGTCATCTGTTCTACGAGAATTATTTACGCGTGGACAATATTGATTTGGTTATTTTTTCTAAAGCTCGACACGATTCCATCGTTTACGATTCGCGTTTAGATGCGTCGGGAAATATTCATCGTATTACCGAGAATGTTATTTTTCTTTGGTTGAACGACGCTCATTTTGATTTGATTTTATCGTCACGAAAATTTATGAAAAATAGCGGATCTCGTTTTTGCATGAAATGTATGAAATACTTTCGTGTTTTTGAAAATGCCACGACCCACGTTTGTCGCACGGTAAATATGTGTAAGAAATGTTACGCTCACGAGGCAAAATGTGTCAGCGAGGAGGGTTTTAAAATCGAATGTAGCGAATGTCATGTACTGTTTCGTAATAGGGAATGTTTTACAAAACATTTAACACATGCTATTTTTAAAAACAACTACAGCAAAAATGTACCTGCCTGTCGTTTTTTCTTTTTCTGTAAAACTTGTTATCGAATCGTACCGCGTATGACACAGATTAGTACAAAAAAATCAATTAAACACAAATGCGGTCAATTTTATTGTCTTCATTGTAATGCTATTAAGGATCAGGGTCATGCTTGTTACATGAAACCGTATAAAATTCCTGCCAATGAAGTATTGCCCGTGTTGTATTTTTACGATCTTGAAACGCGTTTGAATGACGAAAAACTTATGGTACCCTTTTATGCTGTTGTACAAAAAGTTTGTAGTCAATGTGACGAGAAAGAGTTTGTGAGATTACAGAATAATTTTTTGCCACATCCCACGATAAAGCATTGCGACGATAGTGTAGAACCCGTAGCATGTTGTATGCACAGACAATATGTTTTTGAAAATAATAACGCGGATATCACTGATTTACTTATTAGTTTCATGTTTGCTCAAACCAAAAATAGTGTGTGGATAGCGCACAATGGCGGGCGTTTTGATAATATATTTTTACTTCGAGAATTGTTAGTAAAAAGGGGTGTGGTTCCGGATACTGTCATGAACGGTAATAAAATTATGAGTATGGAAATTCGGCACGATGATATCACAATTAAGGTAATTGATAGTTATTTGTTTTTGGCCATGCCCTTGAGTAAAATTCCCGAAGCAATGGATATACCCGATCTTGCAAAAGGGTATCACCCTCATTTTTTTACAGACTTAAATTATGTGGGACCCATGGTAGGGTTAGAGTATTTTGATTTAAGTCGCGAAGAGAATATGGAAGCATTTAATAAATGGTACGAAATTCAAAAAACAAAAACGTATATATTTCGCGATGCCGTTTATTACTATTGTCGTTTGGACGTGGATATTTTGCGGCAGGGGTGCGTGAGATTTGCACGTCTCATCGTAAATATTACGAAAATTTTTCCATTTTACGATCGCACATGTCACACCATTGCGGGTTTAGCATTGAAAATATACCGTGCTAATTTTTTAAAAGAAGACGTCATCGGACAAATCCCTCCAACGGGTTACGGCGGGAATGTTAACCAAAGTATTATAGCGTTACATTGGCTCGAGGAGATTCGTGCAGATCTTGAAGCGCAAAGCTATTCGTTGCGAAGTAAGTTGTCGCCTGAAGGGGAGGAAAATATTTTAAATTATTTTGTGGACGGCTATTGTGCTGAAACGAATACGATTTATCAATTTCATGGTTGTTTTTTTCATGGTTGTAGCGAATGTTTTGAAAGCGGTGATATAAACAAAGTGAACGGGCAACGATTTTATGTATTGCGTGAAAAAACTCGTCGAATCACGGATCTTTTTAAAGATTATCATTTTACAGTCGTGGAAAAATGGGAATGCGAATACATTCAAGAATGTAGTTTATCGCGAAATACTATTCTTGAATTGGGTCACGTGAAATATTTCACTTACATCAATTTAAATCCTCGCGACGCCTTGTTTGGCGGGCGGACGTCACCGGCGATACTATTTTATGACGTCAAGGATTCGGAACAGAAACTTCGTTATTACGACTTTACTTCCCTATATCCGTATGTTCAAAAAAAATATCGTTATCCGACAAAACATCCGGAGATTACGCGAGGTGTTGACAAATGTGCAAAATTAAATGTTTCTCAAATTTTCGGTTTAATTAAATGTAAGATATTAGCACCACGTACTATGCTATTCCCCGTATTACCCATACGGTTAGAAAAATTAACGTTTGCTCTTTGTACGACTTGCGCGCGCAATCAATGTGACAAGTGTACACACGATGACGAGCAACGAGCATTGTATGGCACGTGGACGAGTGTAGAAGTTCACGTGGCGCTCGAACACGGATATAAAATACTTGCTATTTACGAAGTTTATCATTATCCCCATAGTGCTAAAATTTTGGATTTGTACGTTGATACGTTCATGAAATTAAAACAGGAAAGTAGTGGTATGCCACGTCAGTGTATAAAAGATGATGGCAGTGTTGATAATGTAAAATTACAAGCATACATACAAGAATATGCAGATCACGAACAAATTTACTTAGATGCTTCAAAGATAGGTCATAATCCCGGGCAACGTACGGTCATGAAAGCTCTTTTAAATTCATTATGGGGAAAATTAGCACAGAATAAAGACACCACCGTGGTGTCGTTTCTCGACGATTTTGACGATTTGTTAGAATTGGTAAACGATAAAACAATCGAGGTAACCTCGTTGGATTTTATAAGTGATAATATTGCACGCACTACTCATCGAAAAATATCGGGCGCGCTAACAACTCTAGGTAATCGTAACGTAGTAATCGCGTCGTTTGTAACCGCGTATGCACGTCTAGAATTATTTTCGGTCCTTGACAAACTACAGGAGAATGTTTTATATTATGATACGGATTCGGTTATTTACAGGGAAGATCGGGCACAGGGGAAATATTTAGAAACGGGTAAATATTTGGGGCAATTAACCGACGAGTTGAGTGAAAAAAATTGTACGGAAAAATGGATTACGGAATTTTGTGCGTCAGGTCCAAAATCTTATTCGTATCGTACAAATAGATATATTAAAACATTAGAGGATGGTACATGCGAGGAACGTGTTGATGAGGTGACGCATGTTAAGGGTTTTCGTTTACAGGGCGATGCTAAAAAAAAAATCACCTTCGCGAGTTGTATTCGTGATCATAGTCGAGAAATTACGGTCGTCTATCGTGAATTTGCTCGGTGTAATAGTCAAACGATTGCGGTGGAAAATAAAGAAAAATCTTTTCATTTTACATTTGATAAACGCATCGTATGTGATGATTTTACAACATTTCCATTCGGTTACGGATTATGAGTTTCTATTATTTTTTTTCTCAGGAAAAATGCATTGATCACGTCGCGTTACCCTTACACCATCCGTTTATGCTCACCATGTGTGGACCCACACAATGTGGGAAAACAGAGTTCATCAAGAAAATAATAACGAACATCGACGAGATGATTAAACCCACACCCGATAAACTTGTCTATCTGTACAGTACAGACCAAACGAAATACGATGACATTAAAGACGTAATACGTAGGAACAGTGCAAAGTCAAAATTAAAAACATTCGAGTTTGTGGATTGCAGTGCATTGGGTATTCCCACCATTAGTGAACTAAAAAATAAATTGGGCAACGCTACACTTTTGGTTCTAGACGATTTGATGATTCTAGCAGCATCCGATACGAAATATATAGAAAATTTAAATAATATAGCCTCACGCGATAGCCATCATGCAAACATGTCGGTTATTTTCGTATGTCAAGATTTAAATTACGGAAGTGGTAAATTACGAAACGCTCGCGTTAATAGCCAGTATCACGTAATGTTTAACAACTATACGGATCTTCGAAATATAGAAATGATTGCTTCGAATAAAAAGATTAGTTTGAAAAAAATTCACAAAGTAATTAAATCTGTAGAGAAGAAAAGTCAATACGGATATATTTGCTTCGATGGTTCGCCACGAGGTTATCGTAATACACGAATTCGTACGGGTATTTTACCCGGCGAAAAAACTATAATTTACGAATGTACACCAGACATGTAAAAAATTATTTTTTTAATAAATATGATTGCATAAAAGATTTACAAACTTGTCCCTTGTGTTTACGACATTTTGTTTTATAGATATTTACAATTTTTGGAAAAATCTCATAGACTAGCGTACGTAGTATTTGTTCATTTTCCATCAAGTCCTTTTTGTTCATTTGAATGAATAGTTTTTTATCGTTCCAATAGTTCCATAGAAATAGGAGACACCATGCCCCACACGTTCGACTAATATAAGATTGATATTGTACACGATTGTGATAGGTGACGTCACAATGAAGTGTATTACGAAAATAATCTAACCAATAGTTACGTTTAAAAAACGATGGTGTTTTACCGTAACTGTCAAAAAAAATAATTTTTTTTTTATCTTTTACAACCGCGACCCAATGTGTACCGGGTTTGTTGGACTCGTCGATATTCCATATCCAACAACAAGACGAACGTATTGGTGTGGGGTATATATTTGCAGGATAACAACCCAAATAATGGGGTGCAATATCTCTACTTGTTCTTGCTAAATTATTTAAATGATCAGTGTCTAGAAATTTGCTAACAAAACACACGAAACTAGTCATTCTAACGCAATAGGGTACGAATTTGACGATCCAATTCTTGATGGGGTGTATAATGGGCACTACGTGATCGGCGATTATAGGGCGTTGGCGCCGTATGACGTCGTAGGGGTTGAGGTATTCTCGAAGGTGGACGACCAAAAGGTGTTGACGGAAAGGAATTCTCTTCGCTGCTTGTCTCAGGTGTTTCGGATAACGTACGTGTTGTACGCGTTTTTATATACTGTCCCCGAAGACGTGTACTGCGAATGTGTGAGGCAGGCATTTTAATTTTTTTTAATAATCGCATAGCTTGTTGAGATTCTACAGATGTCAAATTGGCTGTTTTTTCTGTCGTATTGTGTGTTAGATCGTAAACTAAATCTGTATAGGGTATATTATAACGCGTACCCTTGTGCACAACATTTCCGTTACCTCCCCGTGACACACCCTCTTGTTTAAAAATTTCCATAATTTTTTCGTTTGCAGCATCCACTGTAGTGCCGGGACGTTGAGCACGACGCTGACCCGGCGTAGCACTGCCAGGGTTTGCAGCGTCGGGGGGTTTAGGGAGTTGCCCCGTTGCTTTTTGAGTAGCCTTTAGCTTATCCTTTTTATTTAAAAAATTCACAATTTTCATACCAGCTAAATCATCTTTATTTTTTACACTTTTCATTACATCATCGTGAGCTCGTACATAATCCTCTTCCTCGTTAGGTGCGGTTGCTTGCTCTACGATATTTTTACGTTCTAAAGTTTGTTGCAATGTTGATATAAGTTTATTAAACCGTTCCGAGTCTACCAATGCCAATTCTCTTACTTCATTACTCATTTTTTAGATATTAGATCAAGAGCTTCGCGTAGAATCGAATGAACTAGTAAATTCTCGCTCAATGCGACGTTAACGTCTTCTTTGGGCGTACGCTTGTCCAGCAAATGCTTAAGAAAACGTTTACTATCAATTGATATAGTCACGGGTATTTTTCCCCGATGTATATGTTGACAAAGATTGAGCATATTTTTTTTGACATCTTTGGAAATCGAACGTTTTGTAATGGTCGTGTTTAAAAATTTTGTTACACTCGGAATAAGGTGTGATTTTTTTCTTTTATCATCACGCGATTTTAATTGTATTAAATCACTAAGTACTTTACTAAATAATTCGTCGCTTAAAGCGTGTTTTTCATCTTTTTCGTCATCGCTTTCACATAAATCGTCAATGCACATCTCGTCCTCGCTACATTTCTCCCCTTCTACATTATTTTCTTTGGGTTCTTCTTGTTCGTCGTTTGTTTCGACATGTTCGTCGTCTCCCTCGTAAGATTCATTTTCTTCAACTTCTCCCTCCGATTCTACCTCTTCCTCCAATACTTGTGCTATATCGTCTTGTTCAGCCATAGCGCGAAATAACGGGATGAACGTGTAACGTGGGTAGTGAGCGACCGTACGAACTTATAACTTTCCCGTCTGGGGGTCTTAACAGTCTGTTTGATTTTTTTGTTTCGCATGCTTTTCTAATATGGCAATGTTTTTTTTTAATTTTACCCATTTTAGAATTCAAATTTATTACGAGCAGCTGTCTTATACCCGATGGACAATTGATTTCTAAACTCGCCAATAAAAACCAATTGTTGTGCGGCTTGTAATGCTGCAGCATATTTTATATCAACGCTCACTACACCGGCCGTGGAATTGGGTAGAACCTGATTGTAACTATCTCGATTAGTCGTTAAATCGACTACGATGATACCAAAATCAGATTCATACGCAGAATACGTCACAGGCATTTGACTATGACGTTTATCCAAAACACGAATCAAATTCAAATACGCTTCTTTCGCGTTGGTAATTAACGGTGGGATATTAGCCTCGTTAATTTTCACTTGAAAATGATTGATGTTGGGGAATGGCATGCTGTGATAATTTAATTCGTTATCACCGTTGTACCGTGCCTGGGTTTTCTGGAAACAAATAAATCGTGTAGGTCGCCCACCATTAAAAATATCATTCACCTGAACATTCTGAGCGCCGACAGCCAAGGGTTTGCCCACGTAACGATAGGTTGTGGTATAAAATTTACATTCTTCTGAATTTTGAATCATCAATTCATTAATTGCGGCAGATAATTGAGCGACAGGTTTCATCATGGGAATTGTTAATGTTAAATCATGATACCTCATCTTGCTTGCCGTAACATTTGCATCGACACCATTGAAAAATTTGTCGTTGGACAATCTCGTCAATTCCACTTTAACATCAAAAGAAGTGGGACAAAATCGTTTATTATGACCCAACAAATCTAATTTGTCATAACATTTAAATCTCGCCCCTTGATTTATCGCTCTTGCTCTTCTACGACCCCCCGCATTGACGACGCCAGTATTATTGTGGAAGCCCACGGTGCTATCAAAATTACCTGGAGTATCGTACCACCCAAAACACAAATCGCGTTTATCATCCCGACCGTCGGGTGTTTCTGTCAAAAATGCATTGATATAACTAATTTCTGATTCATGCGTCGTTGTGGTATTCACCAGATCGTTGTTTACATATATTTCTTTCGTTTTCCAACCAAATGCTAAGGGTCGTACCATGGGTGCCACTCTAAGGAGAGCGCCAGGATTTCCATTGCCTGCCGTTGTAACCTGCAATTCTCCCGATATGGTGGCATCTTCTAAACGCATGACACCATATTCTTGTCGGTTGTGAATAAAAGTATACATGTTTGAATCGGGACTTGCTGACGGATTGGCAAGAAGTTTTAATTCGCGCGTTTCCTCAAATGTTATGTTATGAGGAAAGGTGGCGAACATTTGCAGGGGTGTAACAAACCTCCCGTCATGTTTTTCCACCTCTTCAGCTCCGCTGTCATCGACTCGCGCACGTTTACCCCCTCGACCGATCATGGTGATAAGTACAATGACGTAGATTGCAGCGCAAGAAATATAAATACACACACACACGTGATTTTTTTTTGCAATTAATTTATTTTTTTGTTTATACTCTATTTATACATTAATTTTTAAAATCTTGCCGAGTGTACCTAGAACCATCGGAGCCATTGTTCCTAATGCCATCCCTGCCCCAAAACCACCCCCACGTTGTTTTCTCGAATGTTTTTTACTTTTTTTTCTTCTCCGTTTTTTTGTTTTAGCATGTTTTAATGCGGATAACAAAAGAGCTAGTCTTGCAAACTTTGCAGCGTTTCTTCGTTTACTTGCCATAAAGTAATTGTTCTAAAATTCGAGGATCGATTCTGCGCGATGGCGTTTGTACTTTACCCACCCTGGGAGGTTTGGTATTCTTATAGTTTGGATTTAATTTACTCGGAGGTGCAATCTGCTCCAATGCTCGCGCTTCTGTACTTTTTGTCGTTTGATCATTTCTTATTATACATAAATTTGTACCGGGACAGGGTACTCCCTCTCCTTGTAAATATCGAATATAGGTCGCTTTATCGCACATGTTTACTCGTCGGCGGTATCGTACAAATTAAGTTCCAGAGTAATTTTTTGACCACTATTATTACCCAATGCGGAAGTTACATCATCGCTCCATGTCAATTCAAAAAAAACAAGGTCTTTTAATGCGGCTAGACTTTTGACACAAAAAAATGAGGGTAATCGTCTTTTTTTACCCCCATAATGCAAAGACAAATCGGTCTGACTAAATGTGGTCAAATATCTTTGCTCTTGTAAACCGTGAATTTCTTGATTGCTATAAGCCCAAGTCATACCTTTAATTTCATAATATTCACCACCTCGTTGATGGGTAATTTTTTTAGGTGCGTAGGCGTCGGCAAGCCATTTCATACGGTGCTGACGTCGATAATAAAGAGTAAAAGATACCCAACCTCCCGTAAAATTACACGATAATTTATTCACCGTATAATAATAACGTTGAGGTTTATTGTAATTGATGCCTTGAGACGGTTCCAAAATAGAATATTTTGTAGGAATCAACTTTTTGTCTGTAACTGTTAATTCTATTCTAATCATCTTCAAAAATACTAAATTCCAACGTAATATATTTTCCCTCTTGTGCGGCCAAATCACCTTTTTGCGTAGCGTTACCCCAATGTATCTCAAAATGAACGCTTTCGTTTATAAATTGCACATCACTTACAAACATAAACGAGGGCATGATTCTTTTTTCGCCATCATAAAATAAGTGGGGATGTGTTTTACTGACCGATGCTAAATAACGCATTTTTTGCAATCCAAACCCTTTATTTCTTTGATTAAATACATTCATACCCTTAACCTCGTAAAATTCACCACCTTTACCAAAATATTTACGATAGGTAATCGCGTCATCTTGACAATCGGAAAGTTGATATTTCCGACAATAATATATTGAAAATTCATTACTTCCCGTCATGTTTGTATGCATCGAATTTAAGACATAATGTCGTTTTCGCGGTTTAATATTTAGCGTAAACCCCTTGAATTGATCGCATAGGACATATTTTTTTACAATAAGTCGTTTATCGTCCACTTCAAATTTAAGGCGCATCATTTTTTTTTTCTCTAGTATATGATCGCTTCCAACGTAATCACTCCAGCACTGAAATTTATCGGATCATAATGTGTATCATATACACCAATATGCAAAGAGTTAATACGTCCCTTGATTAATTTTCGAGACGTGTCTGGCGGAGCATACACCGCCAAAGAGGGACTACCCTGTTTTTCAACATCAATGGGTACAGATGCTAGTAATCTTGCTTTTGTATTCCCTACAATTGATTGTTCCACCTCGTCACAGTAGATCATTAATTTACTTACACCATTGCTTAAATCGGGCATATATTTGCCGTAAAATGTAAAATGTTCAAGTTTTTCTTTGTTCCCTGCAATTTGAATAAATTGTAACCAGGGTAAATCAGCCTTGGAATGACCAATTTTAGCAGCAATCATGTCTGGATGGACAACCCATTCTTTTAAACCCAACATATACTCTAGACTAGGGGTCATTTCAAAATCAAATGAAGTTTCAGCACCTCCCGAAAAAGGGGCGGACAATTCACTATAGGGTGTACCAATTGTTTGATAAACATATCGAATATCACCGTTAAATTTAACACCCACACGTCCACCGTCTTGTTTAACAAAAACCATGTCATATTCGTCAACTAATTCGTTGAGATAATCTAACATCTCGTCCAAACCATAATGTCCCGCGGGTAAATACATCATCGGTGTCTGATATTTAATCACTTGATTGCTTCGTGTAATATTCCCCATGTTAATTTTAATACGTATACCGCATTGTTTTTCGTGAACGTTCTCGATCGTTTGGGGATAGGCAATATTTAAAACACGTATTTCGCGATCACGATTTTCCGCATCTATTTCTTCGGGTAGGGGCATTGTGAAAATATTATTATAGTTTTCTCGACCCTCGTTGTTCGGGGCATTGCTTACGATTTGTACGTTCATATTTTTTGTAATTCTTCACGATAAAAAATACCCTTTATTTTTTCACCTTTCTCATCACGCAGCTCGTACGTAACTGGATCGGTGATCAAAACTTTGTACACTATAAATTTTTCACGAACCCAACGTTGTAAGCTAGATTTTTCAAAAATATTATTTTTTACACGAGACAAACGAACACGATCGCCTTCGTGAAGTAAATTACGTGTGGGTTGCGATTTGTTTAGCATACGTTTCAAAAGCTTACGGCTATTAAGGGATTTACCCCGAATATAGACGTCATGTGGGGTTGCGTTAAATATACCCGCGTGAGGCGATTCGTTGTAACGTTCGACGACAATGGGGAGATAATCGACATAGCGATATTTTAAATTCAACGTTGTCAGAGAACGCAAAACCATTTCTTTAAATGTTCGAATAAAACGTTCGGCATGAACCGCTTTGGTTTCGCGGTTAAATGTAGAGAATAATTGAAATCCATAGTGTGGGGCAAGATCTCGTTTAATTATAGAAAATTCAGTACCCTCATCACTTTGAACTTTTTCCGGTACACCATATTCTCGAAGAAGTTCCTTGAATTTATTCGCCACATTTCGAGCAGACTTATTTTTTAATAATTTTACCATTCCATAACGTGAATATACATCAACACACACAAGCATGTAACGATATTGATTATTATATCTTGACAAATTATTTAAATCAGCCAAATCAATACTCCATTGTTGATTACGTCTAGTTACATAAATTTTCAAACGTTTGTATTTAACACGTTTTTGAGCATGCAATCTATACGCAGCCTGCTGTTCATTCGTAAGTTTTTCTCCTTTCAAAAGACGTGCTGCTTTTTTTATCAGGTCACGACTAATGTTTTTACTTGACATCGTCAGTTCTATGGAGAAAAAACAAAATCTTTTTACTTGTCAACTTGAGCTTGAATAATTTCGTACATTGCAAACAATATGGCAGGTCGATCTCGAGCTAACTGCATGTAATCGAATGGTGCTTCACTATTTAATTCATCTAAATGCTTAAGAACAGTATCTTCTAATGTACTACCCTCGAGCATATACTGAAAAATAGTTGCCAACGCATTTTTTGGCGGTAATTTCTAAAAAAATATATATAAATTTAACTATTTTTCACTAAAGGCTCGGACCATGTTACTTGCACAGCACGTTTTTGAGATCTATTGTATTTTGTCATTCCGTAGTCCAAACTACGAGAACGTAGAGGGGGTATGGGTTTCAAGGGACGTATAGGAGAATATGTGGGTCGTACCCGATTTATTACCTGTTCTTCACGATTAAATAACTCTGCGTTGGTCGGGCGGGGTTTCTTGCGTGCACCACCACCACTACCTGCACCACGTTTTCCACCACCTTTGGTCGTTGTAGGGGTTGTAGACGGGCCCACGATCTGCTTCTGCATCTGAGGTTCACCAGTAGGAGGGATCACTGATTCTCGATCAACATCGTTGAGATGTGTGACATCATTGTGAATAGATAACATAATTTTGGCAAATTTCTTCCAATCATCACGTTTCGAGATGTAGAACTTCTCGAAACACTCAGACCATTCAACCACATTTTCAACAGCTTCATCTTCGACGCCCATGGGTTCTGGATCAGGATCTTCGTCTGAATCCTCATCAACCACAATATCTGCTTTCTTGGCATTCATACGCAATAAAACCAAACCCTGATAATCGCTGTCGCGAAGAACCAATTTGGTTTCATCACCTTTGTAATCGGTGCCTTCTGAGATACAAAAATCGTTGTTTGCTCCTGGTGTACGCGCTGCTTTCTTTAGCGAATCAGCTACCTCGAGCAGTTCATCGGTCGTGATGGCAATACATGTCTTATATAAAAATTTTGTTTCCCCCCCTCTTGCGAGTACTCCTGATGCAAGGTGAACTTTCTTGTCGAATTTCTCATACCACCCGACTTTACTGGTTTTATTTGCATAGCTTTGGAATAAATGTTGAGCATTCGCATAACGTTTTCCGTACACGCTATAGTTCACCGTGGAGGACATGTTGTCTAGTGCAACAGATCGATAATAGCTGAAACTGAAAAACTCGTCAATTTATACAATGTGTAGACACCGAAGAAAGCCCCGACAGTCACTGCGAGATTTTTTTTCATCTTTGCATTTTTCAAAATTAAATCTACTTCGTGCACGTTGTCGTACATTTTTTCCATATATTCATATTTACGATTTATAGTAGAAAAAGTCATCGATTCATACGTTTGACAAATTAATCGAGCAATCCCCAACGCCCACATTCGTTGACCTAGACCTTTACTTAACCACATGGGGTCCACCACTTGCCACATGACATCCACGAGATCTGTTTTTTCATTGTCAGGGTATAATATGTGTCTAACTTGGACGTAAACGCGTTCACCCACAAAATCATCTATTAAATGTGTAAATTGTTTCAATTCTTCTTCACTATCAAACTTATAGTGCGCATACCATTTGTTGCTACTAATTATAGGTGGAACATACGTTGTCATTGTAGTAGGTAACCCCATCGAAAGACATAGAACAATTCCAACGTACCGTGAACGTATGTAGAAAAATAATTAATCGAAAAACAGAAACATGCAAATATATACCCGCACGTAAAAAACGTTCTCGAATCTTTTCTTTAAACACGTAAAAAAATATGTTTTTATAATGTTCGCAATAACCGTGTAAAAAAAGAAAATATCGACGATGATTATAATTCATGTACACATCGAAAAGAGTACGACTTCTAGACACTGTATGTATTGTTGTTCGAAACTTCTTGTTTCCCCAATATATACATAATACAAAATCATTACCGCAGCACTCAACAAACCAAGATTGCTTACACATGTACAAAGATTCTCGATATAAAACCGTACCCATTCTTTAAAACGAATTGATTAATGCCCAATTTGAAAACCTGTCGTGCCGACAATTATCAACATACTCCCACCACGTATTGCACGAATGAATAAAAATAATTCATTGGAAAACAGACTTATCCAAATAGACACCCTGACGTAAAAAATGTTTTTGAATCATATCCTTCAATAGAACGAAACACGTATCTTTATTCTGTTTACAATAAGCATATAACATATATAAGTGATATTGATACTCGCGTCGTGTTGATACGTAAAAACTATACGCGTGTAGTCGATGTGATGCATCGTATATTTTACCCGTATGAATATGCATTCTCACACGAAATTCTTTATCTCGTCGATGCATCCAAAAAATAAAATCTGCACCGTCACGTTCAACACGCCAATATTGACGACATTCATACAACATTTCTTCATACATAAACGTATAATCATCATATTTATTTCGATGAGGTCCCTCAATATATAACATAGCGGTCATTATGTTAATCTTATAGCAAACGCGTCACGATTACGACTACGTACTATTGTCAATGGTTTTTCACTTTTATTCAATAGTCGAATAAAAGCCAGCGTTAGTGTAAATGGGTAATAATAATCATTTAAAAGATATATACCGTAAATATTACACATGCCGCTACGTACATTCGGAAACGTATTATTATTACATAAATCTACAAATGTTTCTGCAAAATCAGGTGCATCACATTCAAGAATCACTACACGTTTATCGTCTAGATGTTCTATAAAACATTTAAAATAAGTATTGTTCCGATATGTTAGGGTTTTAAATGTATCAGTTAGCTTAAAGCAAAAAAACCACATGTAGTCTGTGATGCTTTATAACAGTGTAAATCTAAATATTTAGTAAGAGTAATAATTTTTTCCTCGTTAATTAATACTACTTGTCTATTACGAGGTACTAGAGTTAACGTCTGATCCAATAGCGCCTGCATTGCGGCGAGCCGTAGAGAAAAATCCACGCCAAATTCGAATATCACTCAAATAGATGCGATGTTTTGAAAATAGTTTTCGTCGAATCGTCTCTTCGGGATCAAAAATATCTCGGACGTCTACTTCGTGATAACAATATAGCCAAAAAGCATCGACAACACCATCTACGTAATCCCCCAACGCGTCCGTGTACGTATCGGTGCCCGATATACGGTGTAAATCTACGTGTGTCAAATAACTATCATAATAAACATGAGCGTTGAATACGAATCCACGGTAAAGTACTGAAAAAATAAACGAACCCTGTGAATCAATCGAACCACAATAAGATTCAAACACGACACAGTCGTTGTACAAACGTTCCTCGAATAAAACTAACATTTGCGAACAGCGTGTAAATAAATTGTCTCACGACATTGCCAACACGGAAAAGTCGTTCTCACATGTGTAGTTGAATCAAAATATATCGTAAGTTTCTTTTCGACACCTCGCGTAAGTAAAAAAGTAGCGTGATCCTTAGAGGACTCGTGAAACAATGATGAATCTTTATCGTACGATGTAGTAAGCGTCGTGACAGCAATTTGAAATTCAAATTTATACCCACATAAGCATTTTACACTATAAAATTTATCAAATAGTGCATCGTGTACGTCGACATATATATAATTTATTTTTTTTACCGGTAACACATTTCCCTGTTGCGTAGCCATGGTTAAACAACGCCGAAGTAAACAAAATGGGGGTAGTTTTAAGGGGAAAAAATATCAACGTTCAAAAAGTAAAAAAACAAAGCAAAAAGGTGGGTTTTTAACCGATTCCATAAACTATGGATTTAGTGAGCCAGATAAACAAACAGGTGGTCGAATACGTAAAAGAATGTCTTGGGTTCAAAGGGTCGGAAAAATACGCTAAACTATTATCTTGCGTAGGCGGTATCGTACAAGGAGAGTGGGGGAGACGACCCATGATGTTAAGTCCCGGTGCTACTTACCACCGTCAACGCGGTGGAAAAAAACAACAGGGTGGATTTTTACCTCTACTGTTGGGTATGTTGGGGATGGGTGGGCAACGTGGAGGACAGCTAAAACAACGAGGGGGGAAACAACAAGGCGGTAGTTTACAGTTGATAAGAATGTTTGGAAGGAAGTAGTTCTACATTTACTAAAAATACTTTGGATAGAATAAAAAAAATTGTAAATTGTTTTAAAAAAAATTTAATACATCATTGGTACATAGATATCGCGCACAGTTTTTCTACACGTATTATTTATATTACATTCATATAATAATTCACCGTGCAAATTATCATCGATACGGTATTTTAATATACTCTGTTTGCCACATATATCGGGCGCACGACGTCTGATGGTCACCCATGCAGAGTCTTCCAAACCATTTTTTGCCTGCTCTACATGCATGTACGTCAACGAATCCATTTCGTGAAAACAAACCCCACACGTTACTTGACGAGCGCATGAAAATGTTTTTTTCTCTGCATCGTAATGAACATTGCCATTACAAAGACATTTTATTTTATCACCTCGAGCCCGAACAATTTGGGGTAAAGATTGACGATAGTCACACTTTTTTTCGTCACACACAAACAACAATTGATATTCATTATTCAAATCAATTGATTTCTCTTTGGTGGGGTCCGTTACACCGCAACCCACCGTTATACGCTCTACTACAGCGCGAACAAGTCGTCTACATGTACAAATATTACGTTCGTGAAAAAACATATATTCCTTTACATTATTTACAATCCTCGTGTAAATTAAAAAATTCGGATCGAATGCGTTTATTTTAAAACCGCAAGATCGATCAGCACACACATAATCTACACGAAACTCGTTCGATTCATCCGATACACGTTCCACGCAAACTTCTACACGTTCCTCGCAAAAACATTCTATCACACGACAAAGCCAACTTCCCACATTCCAATCTCGTTTTGCACAAGTAACACACCCACAGGACAACGTTTTTTTTAATGAACACGATTTTCCAAACATTTGACAAACTAAATACAAAAAATATATACTTTTTTACAACTCGATTAAATATCAAATAATACTTTTTTAAATTCCCAAAACTTACTATCGTCAGCCAAGTCAGCATAATATTTAGATCCCATGTTTCAAAAATCTTTTACATCAAGATGAGTGAGTGCCGAACAGAAGCTCCTTTACCTGTAAACCCTTGCAATACGAAGGGTTGTAATAAATGTATGGCCGCAAGTATTAGCCGCATGTTATATTTTACAATCGTAAAAAAACCGGAAGAAGCCGAACTAGAACGGGTGGAAGAGCCCGCACAACCCCAACCTCCAGCATCAAGTTTACCCGTAAAAAAACCCTCAAAAAAACGACGACCCACACCCTATGTGGCAAAACCCATTAAATTTATCCCCGCAAAAGGCATACAAGACGTCGAACATGAATCCAAGTACTATTGTTACACACACATGCGCGTCAGCCCCGAACAATGCAGTTGCGGAAACGAACGCTGTATCCGAATCGTCCGCAAAAACAGCGATTCCCCCTGGAGTCTGGCAACATCGAACCCCTGAATGTGTATCAATACCTCGTGTAAAATATGATCATTATCGACGCGAATATCCTTTGCTAAGTGGTGTAAATGCCTATATACGAAGGTATAACAATGAACAATCAAATAACGCTTTACAGCTCTTAGATGAGAGACTTGACGATTTATTTGATTCCGATGAAATAGTGTGTGCCTTTAATACGTTACGTATTAAAATGGAAAATGATTTTTTAGAAAAGAAAAAGCACGAGCAGCAGAAAAAATGCGACAACGAAAACAAGAGCGACGAGAACGAAGACGAAAGGAACGAGAACGAAAACAATACGATAGAGAAAGAAGAAGAAATAGAAAACCCATGCCCCCATCAGAAATATCGGACAGATTGTCAGGAATGTCAATCGGAATGCCAGATATTTTTTGATACGCGCGACAATTATGTTCCAGTGGAAACTATACGAAAAACATATAAACAGATATTTTTATCAAAGGAATATCGAAATGCTGTTGAAAGTTTAATTACGGAAATAGACGGGGAAAAAATTACTATCGAACATGCTAAAAGATATAAAACTCAAAAACAGATAGTTTTAAAAATATGTAATGATAGTCAAGATGAACACATCTTTGCATCTAAAGAATCTTGTACATAAAACTTTACATTGTCATAATACCGTAAATTATCTCATTCTCCAACATAATCTGATTTATTAAATTTTCCAAAAACTCAAACTCTAGAGTGTAATAATATTCTTCATAGTTAATCAATATATGATACATCGCCGAACTAGTATGTGCTAAATCATCTCCCTCGTCTTCTAAATCATACCCAAAATGTACACCAGTCAGTACAAAAAAAAGTTCATGTATTGCAGACCAATATTCCAACAATACTTGTGGGACCACGCTTTGCCATGTCTCCATGTCTACATCACTGTCTAACTGTAGTTTTTGTTTCACATACAAACTTGCGACCGTATAAAAAAATATCTCCGCAGGACTAGCTAAAGTTCCCATTCTTTAAGCCGTAACTGTTTATATACTTCGCTGTACTTTTTCACTTTACCGTTGGGTATAATAGCTAACATACGACATTTGTACAACCGTTCAGGTAAATTGGGATCATGTCTCGACTC